ACACAGTGTATCAAAAATTTTTCAAACTATTTATTTGACTGGTTCAGTTGTCGATTATAACGAGTAGCATGTTTGTTGACTGTTGTATCAATAGTATCTCCAGAAAAAATGCACGTTTTTTTACTAGAAAATAAAGCTTTTTTTTATTTGTATTTGTTTACAGAAGTGAGTCATAGCTGAAAACTTTGAAATCTAAAGTTTTTTGGGACTGATTAGGTTTACTGTCGTTACAGTATGATTTATTAGTTTTTAATACAACGGTTTTGACTGGCCATTGTAACAACAAATAAAATTGCTCTTTTTTTTTTTGTTTGGGGAATTGACCATGGAACGAAAAAAAAGGCAGAGCCGGAAAAGGATCAAATAAAGTCAGATGACCGAGTGTTTTGTAATGTTTATCCCCAAAAAAAGAGCAAAAATAAAGATAAAAATGGTTGAAAAGAAAAAAGAAGATGCAAAAATGAAACTTTAGATGACAGAAAAGACACGAAGCAAATAAAAAAAGGTTTCCGTTTTTATATTCCCATATTGTTTCCATCTGCTTATTTGTTTGTTTTTTTTTTCTTTTGTTTATCGGTTAGCTGGGTAGTTTGAAGGCAAAAAATGCACATCAACTATCGTACCATTTTTTGAAGTTTTAGACAGAAAAAAAATTATAATATTTGTTTCAAAATAAAGGGAAAAAAACTGATTGTTTTTCGTTTCATCTCCTTAAAATCTCATTTTTTTGATATGGTGGCACAAAGTACAATTATGGTAAAAAAAAAATGCATTATTTTTGACAACTTTATCGCTGAGTTTATAGCTTTGTCGTTTTGGTTCAAAACTTGGTCATCTTCTTTATTTATTTTTTTTGAAATATTCGGTAAATCGAGAATTTTTTTATTCTTGTTTCGGAGAAGAATGCAAGCAGGAAGAGAAAATGATGAGGCGGAAAGCGGAAAAAATGATAGAATTAATAACGCTTGTAGAAATAACGGCATGAAAATGCTATGGTGGCATGTGAAATTACCTCTTTCCGTTTTTGCTCAAAATTGTTATAAGCAAATGAAGCACCCTCATGAGTCAAAATTTAGGCTTCTTTTAACAGTTTAACTACTTTAAAATGTCCAGTTTTTTCTTTAATTTATGAGTTTTTTCCTAGTGAATATTTTACTGTTAAATAAACAGACGCACATCTGATTGAAGGAGCTAGAAAACTTTACACCAGCAAAAAAAAAAAAAAAA